TTTTTTTTTTTTTTTTTTTTTTTTTTTTATTAGTTGTCATTCTTCAACATGATGAATACTTACAGCAGTATGTTAAAAAAGATACAGTTAAGTCTCTTGGCATCACTGCATAGCAGTCACAGCATTTTCACACAATCTAGTGCTTCCTTTCAGAATGATGCATATGGCATATATACGCACATATGGGGGCTGATTCTTGGTCCCAGTGAAGTTGGGGGGACCAGTGTTTGGCCCATAGAGTTGTATAAGGTATGTGAATATGTATATATAAAATGCTTTACAATAAACATGACATATACAATCTTGAATTCAAAGATAAGCAGAATATATTTTACATCCAAGTCAAGCTTATGCTCTGCATTTAAAGTCTATGTACCTAAAATATTGGATGGATTATAGTAACAAACAATAGAGCAATAGTTTCCACCAATCGAAATAATTTGAATATTCTTGACATGAAACTTGTCTCGTGYTTTTGTTTTGGGGTGGCTTTTTTTGGATTTCCAGGATTTGAGTTCGAATTTAATTATTGATTTTTGTGGGTCACAGGAGTCATGGTAACATCAGGAGGGGAATGGGCGTACTTTATGGATGACTCAGCTGTGTGACTAAAATATAAGGCAATAAATTATGGCTGGTACCCTGGCTGGTACCTGAAAATAAAATTGTAACCACTTGAGTTTCTCCTTTCTGAGAAGAATTCATTTGGAGGGGCTAAATGTGCATTCTGTGTCTCATTTGATGGAAACTTGTAACAGAAATTTAAACCACAAATTGAAAAAGCTGGTGAGATAACCATGCAGTGTAACAACAGCCTTACCTCATTTGCTGTGGTAGCAGCCTTCTCATTAATCATTGGGGAGACTTTGGTTTCCTTCATGAACATTGAGATTATATAAAAATAATTGACCTGTGCTGCAAATTAGGTTAGATATAACTGCAGATCATGTGTTTTGCTTTTTTCTTTTTCCTCCACAGACTCTATTTGACATCAGCTACTCCTCCAGCTTGTTCCCTGTATTCCAAAGGTACATGCTGTCAATAGTCCTTTATTCCCTGTTTGGCTGGTGGCTGGATCACTTTAAAAACCCAAAGGTAGGTAAAATCTTTACTTAATGATGATGCACATGTATGCCTTATTTTAACCAGCCTACAATTTTCACTTATTGTTGTTAATTACACAGAATTGCCTCTTAGATTGTATGAAATCTTCATTTAGAGGAGCTAGATTTTAATCAAATGAATTGCATTTGTGGGGCATAAAAACTTGCTTTTAACAGCTTTTTTTTCCTCTTTCCATATATGAAAACCTTAACTCTGTTTTAAAATTTAAAAACCTTTCAGCTGCACTGGCCAAGTAAGAAGCAAAAATAATTTACTTTACAATAAACGGCTCTCTGTAAAGTGGCTGATGGGGCTGACAGCACCGAAAWCAGTGTTATGTGCTAAGCTTTTCTATTCCGTGCATCAGCATGGATATTGGCATCCCAGTGCAGAAATGTCCTGCCAACCAGAGAACACCAAATGTGCGTCACAACTGCACGTGCTGAGCACTGGCGCTGTTGGATCGGCTGTCACCAGCCATGATTTGGCTCCTAAGGGAAATCCCATGGTTGCATTCTGCATTACAGACCCCAGGGAGTCTTGCTGCCAGAGCCTAACCTTTCCGAGCACTTCTGTCTGCAGCACCTGAGGCAAACTGGCCCCGGGCCAAACCTGTGTCATGGGGGTGGCTCACAAGTACAGAAGCGCTGCTGGGGCCACCCCGAACCTATTGCAAGCACTGTTTCATTRGACAAGGTGATTGAAATCCAGCAGGTACGTTCAGTTCACCAAAATCCCCCAGTCTGATAACTTTCAGAGCATTTTTAAAGCTGAAAAGTTTTAACTTGGTAAGAGCAAACTTGTAATGGACCCTGTAGGCTCCACGTGTAAAAAAAGGGTTTGGGTTTAATGTGGCTGCAACAAAATTTCATTTGTACCTAGGCTTTCCTGTTGGACCTATTTTCTAGAAGCTATTCAGAAACAGCTCAACAATGTTTCTGTCAAGAGCTTTTTRTGCTGCTAGACGCTGCGAAAATTTCAGAGCATTTAAAAAAATTCTTTGAACTAGAGGGGAAAGGGCTTCCATTTCTTAGTAAAAAGACAAAACACGGGAAATCACATCCTTTTGTATGGACTTAAGTGCTTCCAAGCAGCACATTACAGTACTCACATAATGTCCTAATAATTGTCCTGCATCTGTCAAAGGTACACCTAAAAAGGTGCAAAGTGGTGGTGCTTCCACTCCCACCACCCACCTATCCTTAAGAACACATTTAAGTCCTGTAGTTAAAAATAATTTAATTCTGCTACACCTCTCTGGTGTGGCCTTTGCTTGCCGTGGTCATTCTATTATGGGACTCTCATTTAGATTAGGGGGAGGAAAAAGGAGGTTTTCTGCTGGTTGTACCTTACATAACATGGAGGGGCAGAAAAAYATTGCTCACTCTGTTTTACGCCTTCCTACTTCACTGGGTTTCAGCCTCTTTTCTCTGAAGATACATAGTGGAGTAAATCATCCTTCACTAAAACTCATGCTTTTTATTTTCCTTTAAACACATTAGTCACCATATGAGCATGAACTTTCTCTCATCAAGTCAAAATCCCCTATAATTGAGAAAAATGTATTTTCCCCTGCACTTTTACAAGTAAACATCTTTCTCATGTTTCTCAAACACCAACTTAAGTATCTCTTTCTTCATTGGCGTCTTCAAGGTCTCCATATCCAAACACAAGTATCCAAGCATGACTACGTGGCCATTCCTGCTCATTCTTTTGGAAAGCTTCTACACAGATTTGCTGTACTGGGAGTTCACAACAATGCTGTACACGTCACCTGAATGCAACCATTCTTGCTGGGGCAGAGGAGCASGGGACAATCACTTTGGTGCAATGCAGTACTGTCTGAGATTGCAATCTCATTGAAACGGTGGAAACTTAGGTAAAGTTTTATAAAGACTTTCCAAACTGAGGTTGTTTATGGCATAGTTAAGGCCAAGTATCTTTCACAAACACCAGATCACAGAAAATTCCTCAGCCACTGTGATAGCTAAGAGGATTTCTCCTAATAGCCTGACTACAACACATTTTTTCCTTCATTGACTGAGACCAATCTATAAAGTCAGTTGAAGTATTATTTAACTAAAAGAAAAAATACAAATGCATTTTGATGCTGACTATCTAAGGAGGGAATGTGGGGAAAAAATCAGTTATACTGCAACATCTCTTGAGGAAACARCTGAACTTCAGAACTAGCAGAATGTCGTGCTTTGTAAATCACTAAGCTATTTAGTTAAAATTCACACTCTTGAATAAATGGTAATCAGGTTGCACTATCAAATCATGTGGTGGTGCTGTGGGGCTTGGYATTTTTTTTAAACTTAAAACTTCAGGCTCTGTGAAACATTTACCTAGACCAAATGTGCAAGGTGCCATGGATTAACAACACGGACCCATATGGAATGTGTTTGAAGTTTTCAAGAAGTTATCCTGCCAGACTTCATTCCTTAATGACCTTTGATACACCTTGGATAGTGGAAAGGCAGTTCAGAATCGTATCTTGAGTCATATGATTTTGGCAGCTATCAGAAGATGAAGGATGCTTAAAGTTAAGGCTTTTATCCACAAACAACGGTGTATATTAATAAACTCTATACCATATTTACAAATGCTTTCTCTTGTATTAAAACTAACAGTATTCTGTTCACAGTGCCAATGTTTTTACAGGTAGCAATCATCCCACAGTACTCCAGTATTTTGGCATGGGAATCAGTAGCGCTTTGTATTTACAGAAAATGTACACATATGAATATAAACAGGTAACTTGAAACAGTACTCAAAAGATAGATCTCTTCGTGTTTCAAAGGTTTAGACTRTACTACACCTTCCCTTTCGGCTGCKAGGGAATACTGTTCCTTGCAGGAGAAGATGCCCATCTTTTATCCAAAGTGGCATAAAAATGCTTACCAAAATGAGCCTTGTTACATTGGAGGTGTGTATAGATGGAGAGTAACTTCAGTCCAAGTTTTATCAATCTGTTGTTTAGTGCACAGAATACAAAAGTTAAAAAGGTTTTTGTTTTAAGTACTAAAACAACCCGACTCTGCCCTCTGCGAGCACTGTCCCACTCAGCCCGTGTCCTCTGGATGCTGGAGATGCTGGTGGTTTAATGTGCAGCCCAGCTGCCAGCCTGGAAAGGGTGTGGCACTCTGGGCCTATATACACAATATGACTCGTGGTAAATGAAAAGACCACCAAGAGTGCCTCTCTGTGTCCCCTGTTCTCTCAGCAATCCTCCCAGGTTCAYGGCAGTCGGAACTGGCCCGGCTTCACTGCTGCTGACTGGGACGCAGGGGCAGCTCGGGATCAGGAGTGACGAATGGCATCAGGCATGCGCAGAAYGAAGACAGGGGACAGGAACGTGAAGATCAGAAAGAAACCCAGCAGAACTGTGGGCTTGTTGGTGAGGACCCTTAGAGCTTTGCCATTTCTTCCCTTTGCATGGTGTTGACAAGGGGCTCATGGCTCCCCGGGACCTTGCTTGCTGCTGTGACCAAGATGGAGATAGCAGTGCTGGAAGGAAAAGTGCAAAGCTGCCTCTAAGGAGTCTCTTCCTCATTTAAAGTCTGWTCCTGGCTGCCAGTCACTTGGCCTGAGTGGTCGTTGCTCCTACTACTGCTGTGTTGCTTGTGGAGCAAACTTCTCCACTTGGCCTTGTTCCTCCTGAGATGGTTTAGCATATTTTCAGATAGCGGAGTGTCGCCAGTAAACTGGGCCCACCTCTCAAAGAGCGGCTCAACGATGTATGTCATGAACCCTGGAGAAACACACAAAGGACACCTGGTGAGCCACAAACTAATTCCACCAGTGCATTGCCCCCCAGAGTCCCTCGCGAGCACAAAGCAATGGAAGTGGCAAAACCCCTGATGAATAATAACAACGATCTCTCAGACATGGATTCCTTTTGAAATGCACAGCTTTTGACCTGTGTTCATGACAGGATACAGCTTTATCTGCATGTGTCACAGTAAAATCTCTGACAGTCAGCAACCCTTTGAGGAGATTTCAGACAAGAAAGTAACGAGTGTTTAATCCCACACTGGCTGCATTTTTTCCCCATGGGTTCTTCTTCCCCTATGCAAAGACTCCTTTTTCCTTTTGTTGAACATTTGGCGTAGATAGGTTTCTTTTTGAACATTTTAATTTAGAACATATTCTTTAGCTCTTATGGTAAGCACAGTTCTTATCRTTAAAACAACTAGATTGGAGTGGGGCACATGGTGGAGAAAAGTTTCACTTAGAGCTTGCACCATGGTGAGATAAATGTGAAGAGAATGAAACCAATACATACCAATTTGTATGCTTGGTATTGTATCCTTCTGCTGATTACAAAGGGGGCTTATTTCCAGTTCAAATTTTTGTTCGAGATCACCTGCAAAAAAGAAAAAAAATGTTTTTCTGACACTTTTATGTCTTCTCCATACCTATGCCACATTCTTATAGTGTCTGCAATCGTGTGAGGAGTTGGAATCTTCTATCAGTGACGATCATGGTAAATGTCTAAATACCTTCATTTTCTGGACTTTTTAGGTATCAGAGAAACCAATTATCCATACAAAGAAAAATCTGAGAAGAGATGACTTTTTCATGGAGTATGTAAGTGTTCTGAGGACCTTAATTTTTAAAATAGACTCTCTCATGTGAAAGACTTTTAAGATATTCTAGTTAATTTACTCACTGTCCAAATCTCTTCCTACCAGAAAATTGCAGCAGATCAGTTTTAGAATAAAAGTAGTACTGCAGTGGAATTTGCTGCTGTGTTCTTGTGGAAGTGGCTGGGAAAGGGAACAGTATTGGAGCCTGGCAGTACGCAGCTGTGGCCACACTAACAAACTAGTAAGGGCCCAGAGCATGGACTCCATCAACATGTTTCATGTGTCAAGAGCTACGGAGTTCAAGTTACAAATGCAGAAAAAGGATGAAACTAAAAGTCTGTGTTATTATCATGCTGTAGCTGGGTATCAGGCTATGCCTGTGCTGCTGCTGAGCACATTTATTTCCTGGGTGATCCAGGAAGTCCAAAGAGAGGCATCTGCACAGGACTGACAGTGGAGTGGTTGGCTGAACTCCTGGTCACCTTCACAGCACAGTATTTGACTAATTGTACCAGGGGGATCTCCAGTTCAAAATCCAGGACTGTCCTGAAGATTCCTGCAGGCAGGTCCTGCTGTGACTAGCCCTGGGGACAGTTTCAAATTGTTGGAAGAAAAACCTGGCTGGGGAATCTGCTCACTCCCAATGCCACCTCGGATCAGTCCTGATGCAGAATTGACCMGATTTGGCATTTAGAAGATGCTTATAAACAGTCAACACATTCCTGCAGAAATGGTCACGCAGGACAGTCTTCTGTACACAGCTATGGCAAGAGATGTTTTTTATGGAAATGAAAGTAATCAACAGCAATGATCATGCTGGATTTAAGAATTCAGCAGAAAAACATCTCAGAGAGTCTCATTTGCTCACTGCCAACAGTCACTTGTCTGCTGGAGAGACTACATTCCCTTGTGCCTGCAATTACTTCATGCGAAGATTGCACTGAGTTAAGTTTTGTTTTTTTTTGAAACAAACTCTCTGTGAGTGCAAGACATTCACCCTTTGTGACTGTTAACTTTCTCTGCCAGTGTACAATCCTGGTTACTGCATGAGGTACAGGACCTTTCCTGTCTCCAGTATGGATGGGAAGTGAGAGTTAGCTGTGTGCAAGCTAAGATGTGCCACTTCCCCTCAGACAATAATATTTTGTCCATCTGATTTACTAATAAGGATGTAGTGAGGGCTGGTTAGGCAAAACTTTCCTGTAAGAAAGACAGACCTGCTAGTTTAGACAAAACACTGTATTCAACCCATAAAGAAACATTTTGCTTTAAATCCACTGTTTCTGTTTAAAAGCTCCTTTGTCCCCACTTACAGTTTTGACTTAAATGCTATTGTGCTACTCAGGTTCTACTGCCCCATGTAAAATACCATGTGCATTTCTAAGCCTTGCCTTTCTTTCCTCTGCAGCATGCAATTACTTCCTAAACGTGAGCAGAGTATTTTCAGTTCTAATTGAGTACTTAGAAAATAACAGGAAAACATTTTTAGCTTCACAAAACATCAAAAGGAAAATTTAGCAAAACTGAGACAAGGTAACAGATTCTTATGTTTCCAAATGCGCAATTTGACTGTCTTCTCACCTACCCCTCCAAAAAGTTTTGACTGAAAGAAGATTTCTAACTCCAGTGATATTCCCTCTGTAGGTGTTCTGGGTAGGAAATGGTTGACCTGTATCAAAGTGTATCATCATCGTCTTGTCTTTCAGAAGCCACTTAATTGAYAAAAATAAGATTTTTCTTTGCATGATAAGAACTTAAAATTATGATGGTCAATTTTTTTGTTTCAAGTTACTATAAAAGGAACTGCATGAATTAATTCCTAAGAACTTTCATGCTAGGGAAAAGCTTCCAAGCAAATTTAAAATTTCATCAGAGAAAYTGATCATTAATGTTGCCTCAACATTAGCCATTTTCTTGAAAGTTTTTTCTTACTAGCTCCAGTTTCATATATACAAATCAAGTTGTATTACTTACCCTGTGTTCCTAAYTGTATTGACTTTTAAAACATCTGAGAAAAAATTGAAATATTTTTCTAGGAGAGGTTTTTGTAAGRAGCTGCTGTATGCATCAGATTAATTCCGTGAAATGTATCTGCATCATATATTTTATTCACTAACATGTAGTGTAGATGCACCAGAACACTGGAAGACTAGGATCTGAGTCTCTAAACAGCCTTAGAAATGTTCAATTTAAAAAAAAAAAAAAAGTCAAAACTTCATATCTGTTCCAGAAGGAAGATTAAATAAAGCACTAACTGTGGTATTATCTGTCTCACCTACAGTTAAAAATCAAAACACAAGACCTTACAGTTTCCCAGTGTTAAACTTAGTGCCAAAAAATGCCTTCATGCCCCATCATTGTGCCTAAGGGAGTAGAGAGGCCTACAAAAACACCTTCTAGTGATAATGGCATCTAAATGCATGGGATTTTATACCAGGCGGTTATGTCACTAAACAGGATTACACAGCCACTAGTGACAGTCAAACCATAGTTTCTGCATATTGTCCCACAAAAAATGCTCCTTTTCACCCTCTGATYTTCTCACTGGTCTCATGTACCAGTGAATAAAGGTATCCCCTTTCAGAGGTATGTTTTAGATGTTAGACTAACAAATCTTGAGGGCTGTGACAAAAGCTTACATTTGAAAGAGTGGAGCTGTCTTTCYCAGCATGATCCCCCATTACACTAAAGGTGAGGTGCTGCACCTCARGAGCTGGAGACCGATTACATTTTCACTCCACATATGAGTAACTAAACCTTCATTGGGGAAGTTGCTTATGTTACTTCAAAGGCATCAAAGTCAAAGACTTTGCACCAGCTTAAACTGACATTGGCWGAAAATTAACTTGCTGACCTGTTAGTCCTTGTTACAGACTAACAGTACCAGGTACCWGCTTAGATGCGGCTTAATTTTGTAGCGCAGAATTTTAAATGAACTGAGGGCTTCATTGTGTACTCTTCCAGTGTTTGTACCACTTGCCTTCAACTCTCAGGATGCTCTAAACAAAGAATTTAGCAGTGATTAAACTCTGCTGCACCCTGTACTGTAACACAGCATGACCTTGCCTATGCAGACAGAGCCAAATGGTGTAATTACTGTGTTTCAAAAAAAAACCCTGCTGGACTGCGCTCTCTGCAGGGGTCTGAAAACATTTGCAGTAGGTTCTAGCTGAGGTTTGGCTTGCCTGCTTTGGCCCTCTCAACAGCATGCTGGGCAGCGTGTTTGAACCCTTTCTGTGCATTTGCAGGCAGAAGAATGCGTCATTTTTGGGAAACAGTGAGGGTAAGGCTCCCATCAGAGTTGTAGTGGAAGCATGAAAAGCGAGACAAAACAGCGGTAGGATTTTGGGGTAGTGTGGCGCCGGCACCATCCCAGCTCATGGTGACTGGAAGGTTCTCAGAGAAGTACCCAGCCATGGGCTCTTCCACTGAATTCAAGTGCTGAGGCACGGCAGAGCCCTCCCTCCTGCCCCATGCTGGCAGAGGAACAGGGAGGGCAGAGAAACACTTGTTGCTCTTCTACCCCTTYCCACTTTTCCAATGAGGCAACCTATCTCTGAACAGCTTATTCTCAAGGGGCRTTTCAAGGTAAGTTGGTTATGCTGAATGCGACCTCTGACTTGTCACACAAAGAATGTGGAGAGCTGAGGTGAAAGGGGACTGCTGTGAGTGGAAAGGACTGACCTTGCCGGTAAAACTCTTCGCACACCCGTTCACTCCACTGTTTGCTCAGATCCCAGACCCGGCAGGGGTTGCAAATGTCAGCACACTTGAGTGCAATCTGAAAGGAAGAAGAGAAATAGTAGTGAGAAAAGAAGTTGCTGTTTAGCAGTGCTATAGCAGTAAATCAGGAGCCATGAAGTTCCCAGGCCTTACCAGGGATGCTGGGAAGGGTTAAGATCACCTTTCAGAGATTCAGCCTCACCCAAATGTGCCCTTTGAGAAAAGMGCATTTATTTAAGCTGCAAACAAAACTTTCATTCAGCCCTCTGTTTTACCATAGTGAGAACAAGAGCAGGGCCACTTTCCAAGGCTGCAAAGTGTTTTGGATATTCCTTGCAAGGAATAAGCCAACAAAAGCCTCAGGCTGGCTCCTGCTGACTGCTTGGCTCAGCATCCATGGCTGATGACAAGGAAGGGAAGAGCCAAGCTGGTGTATTTGGGCAGAATTTCTCTGTGGTCTCACTGAGTGACCTTGCATCTCACTTCAATTACACTTCATTTTAATGCCTGCATATTTTTGTTTACAAAGCTCAGCACAGGACTCTCCGCACTGCCCCTGGCCTGGTTTCACTTAGTTAACTAGTACTTCTAAGTGCTTTGCAGGAGAATGAGTACATGGGAAGAGGTTTTTAAAACCAAGTAACTGCTTCAGAAAAGTAAACCATGTAGCAGTCTGCCTGTCTTACTGCCTTGGAACAAAATGTCATGTGCCTTGTTTCTTCACAGACAGAGCASAGTCATTCAGTCTGACAGAAGCCAGAACTCATTCTGGCACCCGGGAAGAAAACATAAGAAGTATTTCCTGTAAGAGTTCAGACCTGTGAAATGGCAGAGGGAAGTCTCCAAGTCATTTTTCTCTTTGGATTAAGCTAATTAGCCTTTACGTTATGGTCTATTACAAGGACCTTTCAAAYGTTCTTTAGCTTATTCCAATCAATCAAGATCTTTTTATTTTTTTCTTTTCTTCTTCCACAACTAATCCAACAGATAAGTAAATCTTACTCCTGTCTGCTCCCTTGTTCCTAAGCTCCTAGTGCATAAGAAGCCTTTTTTTTCCATAATTGAGAGCTCTAACTCCTCTGCTTTTGGCACTTGCACAACTTTCTTGCCTTGTCTGTCCAGAAATACGGTCAACCTGTCATCCTGCCCTGCACAGACGACTGTGTCTGAGGCAGGATAGGGGTGAAGTTACTACATTTCCCACACTATTGGAGGGGGAAGAATTAACAGATCAGCACTTCTTTCCTTGCAGCTGTCACATTTTCTGTAACTTTAACAGAAGGAAAATATGCAGGTGTTTATTGGTTATAAATGGTAACAATTAAYTTCAACTTCTTAATGTATTTAAGAATGAAATTATTGCAATTTCTCCAAAGAACTAAATATATGTAGCTACGTTAATCACCATAATGCTTTAGTAAGGTAGAGGTTTATTCTGAGGAGTCTGCTAATGACTGCAGCTTAGCTGAAAGAACCAGTGCGAACCTATTTGATTTTTGAATAAAGCATGGGTTTTTTATAAGCTGGGCAGATGCACTAGAGAAGCATCTGCTACCATGGCAACAGCTGTCTCTGCAGAGGCAGTTTCTGAGCATCCATCACAGAACAGGACTTGGACACCTCATGTCAGGCTGTCCTGGAAAGAACACCAGCAAGGGGGCCCTCCTGCACGGTGCTAGAAAATATCACCAGTGGCGTGACATTTGCCAGAAGAGAGTGAGAGACGCTACAATTGAAGCATTACCTGGCAAGAGAGCAGTGCTCTGGAAATGAAATAACTACTAGCTGATCTTCGTTCCTTAGCATTTGACACTGTMCTGTGTCTGTTGCATTCACAGCTTTGTAATTCAAGGATTACATAAGGAAATAATGGAGGCACCTTATGGTCGCCTGACATGCCAGGTGGCAGAAAGAAAGTGTTTAGGGAAATAGATGAGGAGTGGCTGATGTCCAGACATGCTATCATATCCGACTCTAACATATCCTAGGMAATMCTGTGACCTGAAAAACTAAYAAAAACAATTAAMAAAWTTTTTTWAAGTTACCTGAAGCATAAAATGTCTGTCTTGAGCATCCTCCAGTCTCAAATCCTGATTGTCAAGGTGAGATTTCAGACGGATCAAAAACTCATTTTGTCTGTTGATGTCTGTTGCCAAGATGAGGGAGCCCAATTGCTGCTCGATGTCCTGTCTGCAATGCAGGAAAATAAGCCCCTTTAATCATGGAACTATTGAACATTAATAGCTCAAAACAACCTGCTGTGGATCACAGCTGGCATAAASCTTCCTCTTTCCTTATAGATCCAGTTTGATCTGTTTGGTCAGTCTCTGCTGGGGTTTGCAGGTATAAATGGTGTATCTGCCCAAATGGGTTCAAGAGGAATAGATCATGTAGAAAAAAGTGGTTGTTGGCACAGGTTGTTCTGAAGGCTTCTGAAAAGTGCTAGGAAAATACAAAAAAATGCTCTCCTGAAACAGCAGAATGTTGCATCAAGAAAAACACATCTTACTTCAGCTGCTCAGAGCTGAGCAGTGAATATTGTAGCTTTGAAGCTGCAAAGTTGTTAAAGTTGTTGATCTGATGCAAATAATTTCTGCAGGGATATGGATCTTACTGTTTCCAGATAACTTGTTTATATTCTTGGTAGGGTCACCTGTGATTTAAAATTKTATCCTGCAGTCTCAATCTCCCATCCTTGGTGGGACTAACACTGCACCAAACCAGCAGGTAAAAAGCTAGCAGCAACTTGGCAAAGGTGCTCATGCTTCTGCTTTCTTTTTGGGTCATCCYTAAAGACTGAACCACATTTTCTCAGCGAGGTGTGGAAGTCTAGATCAGTCTTGATGYTCCTGGACCAAGTCCTTCAATTTCCTGTTTTTAATCACTATATCTTTCCACATTCGGTTGGTGCTATGTAAAATGAAAAATGCCAACAATCTCCATTTGAGTCCTGCTGGGACTTCCCATGTTCCTGGTACTGAGAGTGGCCATTCTTGTGCTGCAGAAGCGGGTACGTCTTAAAAAGTACTTCTGCTGTATAACTTGTTTAACTTTGTCTCATGATTTCATAGCTGCATTAAGAAGGGGGAGGAAGTTCAGCCTATTCTGAAGCCTGGGCCTCTTTGCCAGGGAGCTTTTGAGCAGGGTGAAGGAGGCCATGGCCTAGTTTGAGTGATGGACACTGGTGGACACTTACGTGACCTCCTTGGGCAGGTGGGCGAGCAGGCGCGACTCTCGCAGCATGCCGATGGTGGAGCGCCAGTGGTGGTTCTCCAGCACCGAAACGTTCTGGGSAGGAACAACACCAACAAAGGCATGGATTAGCATGGCATCCATGGAACATGGATGGATTTGCAATATCATGTGATACCCAGAGGTGTCTGGACATGCTGCAACATGAGCCCAAAATGTGCGCTTTTCAACCACGGTTGGATTAGAGTAATTGGTCTAGATTTCTGTAGTTAAGGACCTTGTGCTTCTGGGTTTCTTAGCTAAGGTCARCCCTAGAGCCCTGTTATTCTGCAATTTTTGAGTCCTGCTGTGAACAGAGGAGCTAATCTCATCTGAGTGGGAGGTAGCTCGCATTTTAATAGATTTGTTAACAAGTGAACTAAAGCAGGAATGCAAAATCATATTGTTACCTCCTACTGAYTCCAGGTTGACTTTTCAGCCTCTACAGTTTGAATGCAGAGCAGACAAGAAATAGAAAACTAAACTGCCAAATCTCCCTTTTAGTCAGGGAACTAGAAGTTGCCTGCAGCTGTTCAGTGAAAGCAAGAGGAAAGCACTGCTGAGCATTTGCAACTTAGTATGCAACAAATTATTGAGTCCTCTTTGTTTCCTTGCTTCCAACTAAGTGAAACTAAAGTTAGGTCAAAAAAAAATTGCTAGGTAACAGAAACCCAGCTTTCTAAGTTGTCACCAAATTACAATAAATTGGGTATCTTATGTCTGATGACTTGAAATTACTACCCTAACACACAATGCATTTGCCAATCATCACTTGTTTGGTTCACGGAGTACTTTCTACCACCAAATGCCTCTGAAATGTCACCTGTTCAGAAACCTTTAACAGCTGTTCCCTGTTCTGGGCAGTTCATGGCTTTTGCAGTAGATGAGCACTGGGTAAGAAAAGCAAAATAAAATATAAACAGACCATCTGAGTAGGTAGCACAGCAGGGACTCCACCCTGTCACTGCCAACTGGGAAACTGGAGTCAGAATCCCTCTCTCCAGGCACTGTTGATCTCTAGCTCCCTCATCCACAGTCCCACAGCTCTGAGGTGTTGCTGCCATAGTACTGCCTTTCCTATGGGACATGATGTGCAGCTTCCACTTTTCCAAGAGGGACTGAGCAGCATTTTCTCCCTAAGTCTTTCCCTTCTTCCTTTGTAGTCCTGTCATAGCTAAAGGCTGTTGAAACACTAAACATTACCAGTAACCAGGCTCCAATCTGCATTTTGATCATCTTGTCTAGTGCAAAGGTGAGAGTACAAATTGGTTTGACTTCCTATTACAGTACTTTCTGCAGTGCTTTTTGTTGCTTTTGAATTCACTCAATGTTGCTTTGGTATTTCTCTAGGTTTGTCTGTTTCTTTCGCTTACAGAAATCACAGACACTGGGGGAATAAAACAAAGTAAAACCAACTCCAAAACTTTCAAATCATGCAAAAACCAATTCCTTTTCTTAGGCAGAGCTGACAGACTCAGATCTCAACATCAGTTATGCAATATAGAAATTACTTCTGACAGCAATTCTGTTCGTTTGCCAACCTAAATATCCCTTTTCGCCTTTTGCCTAAATACATCAGGATGGACTTTTGCAACCCTACAGTCTGACCAAGAAAAATAAGAGAATGTAACAGGATGCAACAACAATTTTGGTTTTGGGTTTTTTTTCACCTACCCAGCTGCAGAGTTGAATACTGATCCCAAGAGTCACCCCAAGGCCACAGGCTGCCATCCTCTTACCCAAGGTAAATTCGACAAACTCTACCTGACTGCCACCTTTGGTTTTTGGAAAAGCATACACTGGTTTAAAACAGTGCAGGTGTGCACTTTCCTGTGACCCTGGTCCAACTGCATCCTTGAAACATCAGGAGTGGGGAGACCCCCCCTTGGAGCGCCCTGTGTCCCCACATCCCTTCCAGCACGGCAGTCTTACTTGCTTAAGGAGCTGATTCAGCAGCACCTGCCTCAAACAGGGAATTACACTCCATGGATGTAGCTGCTGCTTGGCCATAATGAAGGCCAGCCAGAAGGGCTGAAAGCGTAGGCATTGGACAACTTTCCTGCATCCAATTAGTAGTTACTCATAGGAAAAAGCAAACCCAGGCAATTGTCCCAGAGTACTTCCACTTCTCTAAGTTTCTGCTCTTTGCCTGCCGCAATAGGGAGAACCTTAAAYTGACACTGCTGCACTGTTCAGTTTCCCACACTGAAACTACAGGGAGGAGGGAAAAGGAAAGGTCAAGTTAACAAGCAACAACTGAGCATGAAGTCATATGACTCCCCTCTTAAATGYAGGGAGCCAGAGTCCCTGAAGCAGCTGCCAACAATTAGTAAGTCAGCTATTCCACCCAGGAACACACTACTGCCTTATTAAGACTAATTGCCATAAGCTATCTGATCAGCCAGGCTGGTGGGAAACGACCCATGCAGGGAAGTCTTGAGTGCTGGGTTGCAGGCAGGGGCTCTCAGCTCTGCTTCACGTGGTGTTTTAGTTTTTTAAAAAACTGAGTAGTGCAAGTTTGCTTTAAAGGCTGCACTATAGGAAGCTTCTGTCACATTTACAGCCCAAGCCCAGTGGCCATAACAGAGACTTTGGGACTGTGAGGAAAACAACCCTGTTTATTGTACTTAAACTATCACAGTATTTCCAATCTGTTACTTTCCCTGAGTTATTCAAACCACTGCATTTGACATACACATTTGAAAGAGAATAGCAACTTGAAGAGAGGGAGACTTGCCATTAACTAGATGCAGAGTAAACTTCAATTTTAATTCAAAGTCAAAGGGGATCAGAATTTCTTTCTTCAATCTATTCTTACTCATTGAACAGTTGGTTTAACTACACAATGTTAAACCATYGAAAACAACTCTTGAATTAGAAGTGTTCCTTTTAAGGCAGACTACAAAGTAGAACTGTTATCACCAATGCCCAAAACATATTTTCCTATTTCCAGCTCACCTACATCTATATTAAAGTTGTAAAGTTTTCAGAACCCTGTTTTGTACTACAGATGTTGTTTGTGATGTATCCACACTTCTAAATTTTCACCCTTCATTTAAAAGCCAGACACTGGAAGCTAGAAGCAAAATCTGCATCACATTACAAGGAATGCTGTTGTGCTGCTCACAGGAAAACTGAGTGACCTCCAGACCAATAGTCACCTACACTCAGCTGCCTTTTAAGCCGGGAGACTTGAATGAGGTGCTTTTATTTTTATACAAAATTATGGTGCATGCAATTATGCTCAATAGACTCGTGGAAATTACCCTGCAGATTACAAAACAAAGTGTCTTGCATCATAAAATATGGATTTAGTTTGAAAATAAATATTGAAAGCTCTGAAGTTCTGGGTGATGTCACCTGTCTTCCTGAAATATTACTCTTCTCATATACACACTTCAGAAGCTGTCAAACATTTTACATCTTTGTCAAAAACTGAACTGCCTCGTTCTGAAACCTTTCCTTCTAAATGTAAAGTTCTATTTTAAATGTCAAGAGACATTTAAAAGCAAAGAGATGCCATACATGGAWAAGCCCACCGTCCCAGTGACAGATGACTGCCAGCCAGTTAAAACTTACTTTCATTTGATCCGTTTCCTGATTAATCCCAGCTTTTCTGTGGCTCTACTACTTAAAAACCAAAAACCTAAGAACTCTGTTTCAGTTTCAAGCACATTTTAAAGTACATGTTTTAAAGGCTATTTGCTAAATCTACATTTTTTGACAAAAAATGTTTTCAGCAGAACTTTTTTCCAGCAGTTATTTTTATTGGCATCCATATACTGTACACTACTAAAATCTCTGGAAACAATGTGGGATCATTTTCAGTTAAAATAACTCAAACTTTCCAGTGAATGTCCTTAAGTAGGGTACTTAAAAACTCATTGTTGAAAGATTGCAATTTCTGCATTGTCACTGCCTTTCCTAACCAACATTTATAGTTATATAAATTCAAACTCAAATGACTGAGCAGAAACCGCCTCTCCAAGATACTAATATTTTAGCTGTATGTCCTTCAGATTAGCCTGATTTTTCAACCTAATTATAAACTATTGTTTGCCACTATTAATTTGAGAAGGAATTGTTTGTACCTTTTCATAAGACAAGGGGTTTTATGGAGTGGCTCCACTCACTCCTCCTCAAARCATCCTTAACATTCCCAAAGTACCCTGGCTTAGGCCCCTGGCCTTTCTCCCTCCTCACTCAGCTGGCCTGACATTCAGAAAAGACTGGAATAAAATGGACCAGAAACATATGGRTGTGACATAGTAAGCTCCATCAGCTTGTGAGAGGCCAGTCAAAAGGTTTTCAGCATTTGAGCATCACTATGTCCTGGCTGGGGCTCCCACAGTCCGGCCCATTCCATGCTGGAGGGCAGGACAGTTGTGCCATTACACAATCCACTTCTTATGGGAAAACTCATGCATTACTTAAGCAGGGGAGAACAAGAGAGACACTTACCAAGTAATAAGCACATCACAGCAATCTCTCGATTTATTAAGGATGTGTACATAGCTATTAGTGAGTCTTCTTCAGGTAGATTTATTTTGAACCTGGGATATTCTGTTTCTGACACCTCATCACAAAGGCTGAAGTTGACGCTTCCAAAGTGGCTGGAAAGCAGYTCAGTGGGAAAGGACCTGGGAGTGCTGGCTGACAGCAGCTGAACATGAGCCAGTGTGTGCCCAGGTGGCCAAGAAGGCCAATGGCATCCTGACCTGGATCAGATACAGTGTGGCCAGCAGTGACCCCAGGAGCAGGGCAGTGATTGTTCCCCTGTACTCAGCACTGGTGAGGCCACACCTCAAATGCTRTGTCCAGCTCTGGGCCCTCACTCTAAAAAGGACATGGASMTTCTGGAGCATGTCCAGCAAAGGGCAACAAGGCTCACGRAAGACCAGAGAACATATCTTACAAGGAGTGGCTGAGGGAGCTGGGGGTGTTTAGCCTGGAGAAAAGGAGGCTCGGGGGGACCTCATCACTCCCTMCAGCTGCCTGAAAGGAGGGTGCAGTGATGTGGGGGACARTCTCTCCTGCTGTGCCTGCAGYGAGAGGACCAGAGGGAATGGCCTTAAGATGAGACAGGGGAGATTCAGATTAGATATTAGAGAAAAATTTTCACTGTTTGGCTGGTCAGGCATTAGAATAGGTTGCCTGGGGAMGTGGTGGAGTCACCATCTCTGGAGRTGYTTAAGAGGCRTCYRGATCWGGCACTGGGTTTTTAGGGCAGTGCTGGSTGAACAGTTTGGGTGGACCTGATGATCTTAAAGGTCTCTTCCAACCTTCATGCTTCTATGATTCTGATTCTAAAGTCTCAAAATCAATATTATCTCCATTTATTACCTATGAATTGTGGTCAGTGTGACCAAATTTAAGATYTGCAGCATTGGTCTGGCACATGTATGTAAGTACAATACAAAGAGGGATGTGAATACATATCCACAGGACAGCTGTAGATAAAATACAGAGCTACAAGACTGCAATGGGCCAAAACCTCAAGTATATTCAAAAAGGACCATCAAGATMAGGCAGCATGGGTTCCTTGGTAGTTACCGAACAAGAGGGCCTGAGATTTTTGTTTCAGAAAGTTTTCTACTACTGTTTGCCAGAGCTGAAAGGATGTATAGGTAAAAAAAGGTGAAGGACAACTCTGTACTTATCCCAGACTCATGTTTTTCTCTGAGATCTTTTACTAGCTGCTCTTAGAAACAGGATAATGGTCTAGACAGCCTGTGGTGTGACCAAGTGGCCTTCTTGAAGTTCTTTCTTTGTATCTTGAGGAATGTTACTGTAAATGTCTACAGCTTTTCCTTTGGTTTCCCCTATCTCCCTTTTTTTTTTCTCTTGAATGCAGCGTTCATTAAGTATTTAATTTTACTACAGCCACATGAAGATAAGGTTTCTTTTAATTCCATAGCAATTTAGAGCATGCCTGCTGTTTACTTGCTCATTGAAAGATGAAGTCTTCTTGCTGTGATTTCAAATCTCCTACCCACAGTTCCTTACCCCAGATGATCTACACCAGAAATAATCTGGCAACTGATTTGGCTTCAACATCCTCCACAAAATCTGACATTTCTACCTCTTCTCTCATACCAGCTTTGCTCTTAGAAGTGACACCCAGTGAGGAGCTTGACTGAAATTGTCCAGACYGTAAAGCGCAAGATGACTTTATCATCATCCCCCTGCTACAAGATTTTGGCATTAAAAGTTCACTGCAAATTGCTTAAACCCTCCTTGACTCCACTTCACACATTATCAACTTGATGAGCAGTTTTACCTGGTACAGGCTGGCAAGGTGGTGTTTAGTTTTAATCAGAAAGGGCTGGTTGACCCCTGGGTGATCCACGTCATGAGCTGCAGCAGCAAGCAGTCCGAGCATGATGTCCGACGGCGTGAGGAAGTTGGCAAGCTGAATCATCACACACGTTAATCACAACAAGAACAATAAACACCTTTTTTGGTAAATAAATAAACCAGCTGACATCATGGCATTGCTTGGTTCTGTAGGCATTTGTATACAAATGTCAAATATAAATTTTGTGAACGTCTTTAAGGTGAGTGTTGAAMAAACACCTATAAAGATATTAAGACTATATAATCATGTTTTATTATAGTTTGTATTTCTTCTCTCTTTATCATTCATGGCAATATAAAGACTGTTGTAATAAAAGTGCTTGGGCATAGCCTCAAACATTCAGATTAAAAAGCAAACAAGAATGCTGGCAGGCTGGAGTACATTAGCATCCATCATAAGAGCTCTGCATCTCCGAGTATTTAGTAATACCAGCCATAGATCAGGCTTAAAGTTTCTAGCATAGCACTGTGTTATAAAATGCAGAGTTTATCAAATTCTGAAATTTCAAACTTGGCTGTTAAATCTCTCTCTCAGTTCAAGTATGTGTATTTTTTTAGAGAAAATAATTTACTTTTCTAACTTCAAACATTCAAGCTGGAAAACCTGTCCAGATTTTTTCTGCTATAGAGCTCATTTAGAAGCAAATTTTGTTATAAATGAAGAAAAATAAAAAGGTAGTCTTAGCATTTTCTGTTTCTGAGAGTGAGGCAGTTATTACCAGCCTGMTGAGTCTGTACAGTGTACAGGTCTATGAAATGAAAGAAGCATCCTGAGGTGAGAACTGATGAGCAGTATGGTACAGGTTCTGGATGTTGGCTGTTCTCTGCCCCTTCTGGCAAGAAAGGACTTGCAGATCTCATAGGAGATGAAAATACAGGAAAGGTGGGGCCTGCTCCTCTCCTCTCTTCTCTTACCACTGCTATATTCTGATGGAACAAAGTGCTAGTTCTAGCAGAACATCCTTTCATTTAAGCCAAGCCAGAAAAGATCAGTTATGTTCTTATACTGTGGCTCAGCACTGCAGTATCACAGAGCCTTCCAGTAACACATGAGGTAACACCACCCCGATGCTGTGAGACCTCGCAGCAGCAAATACTCATGCAGAGGACACCCTCGCAGCAGACCCATGTGAAGGGACTGCTTTTCCCTTTCCTGGTGTGGAACTGCCCAGTCTGGTACTCTGAAATAGTGATGCGAGGAGCTTATGCCCTGAGGTGGCCGAGGCACAGGCATGCATTGCCTCCTGCTGCATTTGATGGCAGAAACACTGCAGGCACCAGTGGATGGCTCACACCGTCCTGRTGGCTGCAGCTCACATGACAGCACTCAGACACGCTGCCTGCATGATGAGAAGGGACTCTTGTGGCTTCACTGAAACTTCCGTAATCTGCAGCTGACGCTGCTTCTGACTTGTTGCTGACTTCAAACACGCCATCACTTTCAGCTATCTAGAAGTATCTTTTGGGGTTTTTATTTCAGTCCTGGGAAAAAAAATCTGAGAACCATCTGAAAGCAACATCAGCGTGAAAGGTTTTCATTACCTTGGGCTCCCTCAGATAGCAGTGCATAGCTTGGGTGACATCAGCAGCATGGACAGCATTGTGGTATGGGTTTTGGCTATGGTAATCTTCTTGAACCATAACTGGGAATCAAAACAGAAAACAAAGATCCTTTTGTCTCTGAATGCCATGGCCACAAATGGGAACTGGACTTAAAATACAATCTGAGGTTTTGCAGGCAGCTGCCTAAGGAGTTTCTTCAAATAGCTGTAGCTTATTTAAATTGCTGCTTTTATTGGGATACCTTTAGAGAAAAAATGCATGAAAGGATTTGTGAGGCCCAAGGGGATATACTGGGTCTAGTGCATTAATCACCTCTTTCTTGCCTTAGTGAAGGCTCTCATTGAGGAGTAAAATAAACAAGGAAGAGAGCAAATTTATCCACAACGGAGTGTAATTATTTAGGCTGCTGTCATAGGGTAGCAGTGTGCCATTAAGGYAGTACCACCTATTTTACAGCAGCAGGGAGCGAGGCCCTGATATCCTGCCATCATTTGTTATTTGAGCAATGAACTGCAGCCAAATGCATTCCGACATCCCCCAGGTGAAGAATCAATAGATACAGCATTGGGGTATTCACAGTAAAATCTCCTGGGACAATTTTAGTCACATCTACATGTTCATTTTAAAATGCCAGTCTGTCTTGCTTTAGCTTGCAGTGCTGGAACTGGTCCAGCTGGACCATGAGCACCAACCTCTTAACTCTCAGCTTTCTCTCGGACAGAAAAATCATTGAGATGCGTGCTTCACACCCCTCTGTTCCTTGCAGCAGTGTGTGCACCATTCCATGGTCTTGGGACAGCACCACATGAATGCTGGAAGCTGCATGTGATCTTGCCTGAAGCGCTCTCTGAGACACGATCAAATTAATCAAAGGGAAAGCTAACAGGCAGATCTCCCATGGCGCTCGCTGCCAGCATGAGGAGTGCCAAAGAAAGCCCAAGCCTTCTGTTTGTTTCCAGCTGCACAAGCATCTGGAAGTACAGAGGGTAATCCCTTAAACTGTGAGTACCACTAGCTCTAATTACCCGACTGTCCACTTCATGTCTGCCCACAGGAGCAGGAAACAGCAGGGAGATTTTGTCTGTCTCCACACCAAATGCGACAATTAGGCAGCCTTAAAGAAGAGACCCTGCTTTGGAAACTCTGCCTGACAGCCTGAAAAACTGGCATTTAGCTGCTTTCAAAAAAGTGGTGCAAAAAGTAATTGATTTTGGCCAATTTCTTCTTTTGGTTCACTGACAGCATGGGGCTAATATTTCTGTTGGCAGTAACAGCAGCAGGGGTTTTCATCAACACTATTCAGTGTAGACAGCTTGATATAATTTGCTGAATTTTGCACATAAGCTTTTAACTGCCCTGGGTCTCAGTGGTCTTTTAGTCACTAAAATAATTACACTGCACCACAATCGTACTGTGCACGGGTAGGTTCCACAGTGTCTGTCTGTCTCTGTGTGGGCCTAAGCTGGCCACATCTCTGCATGGCACACTTTATTTTAAATCACCCTCATGACTGTGGTGCTGGAGGCTTTAGCCCAATGCAGTGCCTTTTGAAGTCCCTCCACTGACTGGGTACTGAACCAAGTTCTTGAGTATGTATCAGCCTGTGCACTGTGTGCTGATACATATCATAGGCATGTTTCACTCAAATATTTGCAACAACATCATTATTTTTACAAGCCAGTCCCTTCTCTGRTGCTCTACTCAAAACTTCCAATTTTCTACTTTAAACTTCATTCAAAGATGGCTTTGAGGTGAGCACTTACCAAAAAACCTGTGTAATGTAACCATGTCTAACTGGAAATGGTGAATAAGTCCATGCACATTGAAGAGGTGACAAAGCAGTGTTACGAGACTGTTTCCTAAAGACAGAAAGGAACAACTCTTAGATTCCCTTAACAAGCTGTTATAAATCAAGCAAGAGTAAGAATCTTGGTAATTTCCTATTAGTCAGCTCTTATCACCTGATCTCCAATCAAATGRGCTCAGATGACATTCATATACTCAGAAGTCACTTACATGAATTATTCCTACATGTAATCAAGAGTTGATGGTATGGCTGTACCAATGGAATGCCATTCTTGTGTCTAGATGCCATAAAGTCACATTTGCTGTTTCAACATGACAGCCAAAATGTGGTTTTAACTGGAAGACGGCAAACTGAGATGGTTTTAACTGGAAATCTTTACACAGGCTTGTCTGAGTGACATCATCTTCGTAATTCAGGTTTATCTTCAGAAACAACACAAACAAGAGTGGTGTTTCTGCCACTTCACTTTGCCTAATTCTGCCTATCACTTTGTGCTAATTAATTAATTAACAGAAATGAGCAGTTTGGAATTAAATTTTTTATTTCACATATGGCTGTACAAGCATGTAATTAACCCATGCAGCTCAGCTACAATTGAATCTCATAATGATGACACAGACAGGAAAACTGAGTTGCAGCATTTACAGTCTCAAGTCCCACTGCAACGTTTCACTGTCCTTACTGTAAATCAAATACTGGGAAAACTGGYAAAATTGAACTTAACTAGTATTATACGATCAACTATACACACACAGACAGTATTTTAAAAAGTTTGCACTCCTCAATTCATTGGCACTGTTCCCATAGAAGTTAGAAAAAMCACCCCAAACCAACCAACCCATACTACATATAAACAAAGTTTGAAGGGAGTCTTTTCTTATTTAACGTAACTCAGGAAAGAAAATAAATATCTCTGTGAAGAACACATGGAAATTTACTTAGTCTTGACTACTGAGGAGGGGCACAGAAAGGAATTTAGAAGAACTATGCTTTTACTCCTCAGGCAATTTGAAATCCTTTTCACTCTTCTCTGCCAGTCACCCAGCTGAATGACYCTCTAAACCAACTGTTTCCTACCCCTTCTGCCCCAACCAGATCTAATGAAATAGGAAATGAGGAATGAGGTATCAGTTCTATGAGCAATACAGAAAGGGGAGAAGTGTGATCATAACCCTCTTCAACAGTTACCTGATCAAGAGGTATTGCCTGGACATTGGGAGGGAAGGGGGTTARTTTTACAGTCGTATATTTAGAGAAAACATTTCACAGATTTTTACTCTCTTAATAAATTTCCTAATTCTTGCTGCTGAAGAGAAGCAAAGATATCTTCAGTCAAAGGTCTTTTGTAGTGATAAAAATGGATTGTTTACAGACATCTGGATTTATGGACCAAACTATTTAACAAGTATATTTAAATAGCTTGGGAATTTCCCAGGTAAATGAAACAGAAACACTTTCTTGAAAAGGTGATGACAACAAATGTTACAGATTAGATTAATACAAAAGCACACTTTAAACATCACTATAGCACAGGAAAAGCCTGATAMAGCTCCAGGATGTGATTTTAAGAGAGGTTAAATGTGGCCAATTTCTCACCAGTAATCTGAAGTGTAAACATTTAGCAAACAATTAATAGTCATATATGAGAGACATTAAAATAAAGAATTTAAAAATTAACTTACCATTTGTCAAGCGATCAAACAAGAAAATGTCAAAATCCCACATTCCCACCTTGGATAGCATATGCTGGAAAAAACAGATGTGAAAAGGCCAGTGACTGGTATGTCAAACTCTAAAGCACACTGAATTATTATTCCATGTTAATCAGTCACAGGATTGGTTATTTTAACTTTAAAATTTTGTTCAATAAACCTATAGAGGTGTATTTGAAATAGGAGAAATCAGCTGGAGGATGTAGCTGCCCTGCATAAAATATCGCTTGCACTTTTAACACAACACTAAAAATACCTTCCAAATGGAACTGAAACCAAGGAACAATATAAACCAAAATATGATGAAAATATTCCCTTTTACTGCACAAATTCTTTTTTGTTCCTTCATGTACCTGAATTGTCAGTGCAAATTCTCTTAGGTTTTTAACAGTGTTTTAAAATCTTAACTCTCATGGTGGATATGAGTTATGATTTGCTAAAACTGAAAGCACAGGAATAGCTTTTGTAAACTTAAACACAGTGTTACCCACTCAGAGATGCAGAAGAAATCACMATTACCACCACATGCAGTGGTTTTACAGCTACATCAGTTGAGTCAAGTGACAGGTTCTGGACTAGCTGTATGACCTACAGTGGTGTTATGTGTGAAYGAAACACACATTCAGTCCCATCTCTAGTCTTTATTCAAACATTTCTGGATTCTTAATTACTTTCTAAYACTTATCATATAGTCTCCTCTTACMRAGAATAAAAATACCTAGGCATRTMATTCCAGTACCATTGRTTGTGCAAGTTTTGCTAGAAAATACCATTCAAAGCCAGTATAAGAGCTGCAAAATAAGATAATTAATTATGTTTTGACCATTGTGAAGATTTTTGCAGTCAATATTCCCTGTTTCCTAGTCTTTGCCACTATGGAGAGCCATTGTGGGTCGCCTAATAGCTGTCCCACACCAGATGAGAGACACCCATCTTTTTTCAAGTGTATGAACTAAATCCTGCATCAAGGCTGCACTTAAATCAATAATTTWATCAGAAATCCTTCATTCCTTGACAAATCCAGATTATAATTTCAGTAGTTKGAGTCTGAAAATGCTGAATASATTTWGACATTTTCTGCTGCTTTGAGACGYAAGCCTTCAAGGCTGTATCCATGAGTGAGGAATGGACAACCTGTGCACGGTGAGGCAGGCATGCAACGTGGGTCATTTAAGAAAGATCAGCCATAAATTTGTTTATCTGAAGACTGAAACTAAACTGAAACTCTCCGTAGCATTATTAAAGAAATGGAGACCTGGAGACCTGTCTTACCCTTGCTTGCCCAAGGTAGTCCTCATCCAGTAGGTAGAGAGAGGCTTGTGGTACAATTCCACGCAGTAACCGGGATGCATGGAAATACCTCTGGAAACTTAACAGTCTTTTCACTTTTTTCTTGGTGCCAATTTCCCCTGAGAGWGTAGTATCTGTGAAAAGCAATCAGTACAGAAACCATGAAACTCAAGATGATGGATGACATTATCAGTTATTTTATAAGAGAAATATCAAAAGCTTTAAAATAGCAATACAAAAACCATGAAACTCATRCTTCTTGCCAAGCCACATGAAGGAGCAGTATTCAAATCACTTCACCATAAGGTATTTGCTTCTTTCAAAAAGGAAATGTTCGAGGAAAGAGAATACTAATGTAGGTCTTGGAAGATCTGAGTTCAGTACACTGCCTGCCACAGCCTTTAATGTGACCCAGGCTGAGTCTCCAGGGGGAAGGGGGTGACACATCACATACTGTAGGTGTCAGAGGGAGCCTAAATGACTAGGCAGAATTGGGTAAGCTACTCTGACCCTCTCTGCCTCTGTTCTCTCACTATACAATTGAAAATAGCAKTACCTTGCTACCTCACAGAAGTGTCACTGAAATATATTAAAAACTGTACTCACTGGAGTACAAGGTGATCTTGGGTATAAAATAAAAAGTGACACCAARAAAAGGCATCAAAATACAGTTTGAAAACACAAACATGTGACCCACTTTTGGGAAATGAGATAAAGGAGAGAAAGAAGAACAGGTTAATAATCCTATTGCATTGTCTACACTGTYCTTTCTACATATTAAGGTAAATTATAAATGAAGAAAATATTTTAGCTCTGCAGTGAGGTAGAACATATAGTCAGATAATACAGGCATTTCTAGTTACACAACAGAATGTTATTTTCACTCAGTACTAGGATAATTCTAATTCCCTAATGCTGCATTAGGAGATTTTCATATAGGGCTAAATGTGACACAAAAACCAAGGCAGTTTTTACACAGTGATTAAATCATTAATTAGAGTAATTAAATTACCTCATTGTACTTGGAAAAATATGGAGGCTTTCCAAAACTYATAATGGTTTAGATAATTTCATTTGAACTTTTAACAGAACCTCACATACAGCTGTGGTATTTTCATTCTGCTGCCTGGTATAAGTTTTGGAAAAAGGGAGGACAGAAACTGGATGCTTGGTTGAAGGCAGTACGATTCAATACAGCTTTATTTGTAAGATAAACCTTGTAAGAAACTGAAGATTAAATGGTCCTTTGAGAGAATAATGATTCCTTGAGATAAGAAGCTCCACAGAAATTCATTGGATTTCAGCTTTAAGTAAGAACTCACGAAAAATATCCATGCACTGAAGATGACTCTATTTTTCCATCTCTCTTTGTGAAAAAAATACTGAACATTTGTTCTGCTGTGAAATTAAAATATCACTTTGTCTGCTCTTTCTATGAGTGGTATTATTCGGAGAGGATTTTCAGACTAGTCGCTAAGGTTTTTTCGGATCATAGATGGTTCAGGATTCGTTTTCTCTAACAGCAGATGTGTGAGCACCCTCTGTAGCACGTTTCTTCCCTATTAAGTAATCCAACAGCTACTGAGCAGCACAAAGTCAGTAACAACATCCAAAAAACTCATCCTTACGTACTGAGAATCAATGCAACTCACAGTACCAGAACATCTCATGGCTCTCATGGGCAGTCCAAAGATCTCACTGAGTTTTAATAATATAAAAGCACAAAGTACCTTTACTGCAACTTGACAAGCCATGTGGTTTCCAGAATGCAAACAGTAACAACACCACTACTGTACCAGCCTGAAGGTCAGGTTTTCATTTATGATGTGCCAGCACCTGCCTTAATTTTCTCACACATTTTAAAAGCTGGAACAATTTCATGGCCTGTTGAAGGAGTGACTAATGTAGGCACAGACAGTTACCCAGTGGCAGCGACACATGGAGGAACAAGCAGACTTGTTTTCTTATTCCTTTTCACTTATATAGGGCTGCTACAAATGGCTGGCATTCAGTTTAATTCCTGGATAACAAAATGCTCTTAAAATAAATTCACTTTTTAAACTTGTGTTAGCTGTTTCTCCACTTTCCAACTTTCTTATTTTCATCTTTGCCCACAAACTGTCACCACTTTCAGGTAACAAGTTTAAAATTGTAAGTACAAAAAACCTTTGCTTCTTTATGTTGAAAATTAGAAGTTGCTCCCACTAATTTCTATCTAAGTTAATATCTGTTTTTTCAGTTAAAGACAGATGACTGAAATTACCACCTACATTCTCCAAAACTGTCTTTAAAACTCACACGTAGAGTTGCTGTGGATGATCTGAAGGTGAAGGTTTGGCCTGAGTCCCAACAAGCAGGTATACATCGGATTATGAAGAAGTGGTTATTTTATCCTTTGGATTACCAGAAAACTTCAGTAGCACAATTAATACTTGCCAAGGCACAAACACATCAGATGAAAACAAATAACTTCTTATTATGAAATGTATTTCCTGAATTGAACCATCAAACTTGCTGCCCATTGCTCTGTATGGTTGTCATAAGTCTCAATTCAAATGTAGTCATCAGCAGATAGTGCCACCAAAACCTGACTTGTTGCTTCAGGTGAGCACTGTATTCTAGTTATTATGCAAAGAAGATTACTCACAGTAATCTGTTGTTCTGCATTTTCATCATAAGGGAAAAAGTTCCTAACACTGATAAAAAATTGTAGCAAATATATTTTTGAAACTGGGCTCTTGACAGAACAGCTGGAWTCCAGCACTGCRGGCTATCCACATGCAAACTCTGGATGTTGACTTAAAAGAATAACATGTTAAAATCATGTCCTTTGGGTCAATCATAATTGATTTGCCTTTGAATCACAGGACTTATCAGCTGATGGCTATGACCCATAACAGATTACTGTGACATCCACAATAATGTCCTTTATTATGATGGTGTCTTGCATAAAATTGGACTAAGACTCTGCCCTTCTGAGTACTAAAGACCCCGAACAAGTATAATCTTACCAGCATTTTCTTTTTCCCCTCCCAAAATCAGTGTCAAACAAAAAAASAAAAGCACAACTTTATGAAGTTGAGAGAAAAAGGTTGATTAAAGCAGAAGAGAAAAAGGTGAAGCAGCCAAGAGTTCAAATTCTGCTCTCAGCTCAGCAGTTGCATCTGAATCTCCCAGGAGCAGAGCCATTCCAAGCATATGTGATCCACCAGCTSACACAAAATCTAGATGTAGTTTTAAGATGAAATGAAGTATTTATATGAATGACTTATAATAATATGCTGAACACAGTACCTCTTTATTGACAACTGTAAATTTCAATTTAAATTGTAAATATAAAATTTTGATGATGACCCATGATACAAATTACACACTGTCTTCTGATTAAATTGAATTACAAAGTAAATTAATCAAAAATATTACTGCAGATATTCCTGAACTTCGAGTGTRGACCTATGGGTACTAAAACATATGCTCCAGCATCTGGTTAAAGAACAAGACCTGCAAAGCTCACATGGGAAGGATTTAGTAATTATGTGCAATTTTGAAAGACAAACAAGAATGTCTTTTGTTTACACCCGTAAAACTTCCCTTGAGAACCGTGTTTAATCATTGTGGCAACTTCTGAATGTTTTGCTTACCTAAAAAAACCTCCATCATCTGTTTCTCTCAAAAGATACCCATTCTCATGCTACGGAGTTACTGCCTAGTACAGGGGTTCTAGGTAAGTGCATTAGAAACCCTGCTCTGTACACTGAACAAAGTCATTGTGTGGATTACACAGACATCTTGGATTAATTACACACACATTTACGGAAGCATTCGCACAAGCATTCCTCACAAAGCTCAACTTCTGCCCTCCAAAGCCCAGGCGGCCCGAGCTCACAGCGTATCTCCTGAGGTGTTTCAGCAGGCRATCCGAGTGGCTGCATTTTCCTGCAGGTAATTTGAGAGCCACATCACGCACACGCACGTCGGCAGACCCGGGATGAAGTCTGCRTTACTGCGCGTGGCTCTCCAGAGGTCAATCAGCGACAGCAATCAATGGCTGCCTTCTCTCTCCGAACACAGCTCCTCCAGTTACACCCATCTTCTCGCCTGAAATTGATCTATGGCTCACTACACACCAGCCTCTGTTATTTCAGGGAAAGAGGTTTCCTGCACTGGGAACTGCTACCAGATTTCTTTCATGTTTCTTTCACACAGCTGTGCTAGCGYATGCCCACAGGCACCACGAATATAGAAGTGATGGAGGTTATGCTAACAATGGTTGAGTTAACATCCAGAAATGATCACATAAATCAAATTTGGACAAGGATATACTTAACTCTGCACCAGACRTTCATTACATTGTTACTGTTCTTTCAAAGGAAACAAACTTGGTTAGGCATTCAAATAAAACTGCTGAGTTTTCCGTCACAGTACTGCCTTTTCTTATTTTGTTGCACCTCAGTGTACAATAAAAACAGGTCACCCAGAAGCATGCGTGGATAACAAAAGGTGTATTAATTTTCAAAAGAGAACTGATTCAGAAGAGAAGTTTTGTTCTCTCTTAAAGGATGCAGAACAAATTGGATCCTCAAGCAGCTGCCTTTGACTCACACGATTCATAATACCCTTTCCCCTCTTCCAAGGATGCAACGGCATGCTACACGCAGCCACTGTRTGCCTGAGGAGCCAGGCAGGATTGGTAGGAAAGTGCTGGGTTATCTGAAAGATAATGTGAGCCCTGCAATTTAAGGTCCAGACAGTCTGCAAACAGYGAGGATTCTGGGAAACAATTTGTCKMTGGTCCTGCCATTTTCCACATTGGTTCCTGGCTTGACAGCTGGTTAGAAAGTTTTTCTTTGAGAGCTTGGGAGGTATGCAATTGACTTAGGAAAATAACTGGTGTTCAAAACCATGCTGTACATTTAGAGCAACTTCACTTAAGGCATGTTTGGCATATTCATTGCATGCTTGGTTGCTGAGTTTTTCTAATAAAGAAGAACGCATAGCATGCATGATAGCAAAAAATTGCTGTGCCTTCCCAATATCTTCTTACATTATAGATTCATCAATGTCCAAAAGACAACAGCAGCATTAGTAGGGGGAGTTAAAGTAACAAGAAATCTAAAAATAATGACAAACTTAG